ATTTGGGGGTGAGAGGGTGCCCGCCTGTCCTCTGAGTGTGAAACACCCCCTCCAGTGTGACCCCCCCTCCTGAGCCAGCCCGACCAGCGAGTGCCAGCCCGGGGCAGGGAGGGGAGGCCGCTCCAGAGTGGGGGGCTCACCCCAAAACCCCAGGGCAGGGGGGATTCACAACCCCCTGAGCCAGGCCCGGACCTGCCCAGGGTGTCCAGGTGCCCCCCACCCCAGTGGGTAAGTGAGGAGCGGGTGTGGGGGGCACGGCTGGCTTTGGGGGTGCTGGGAGGGATGGGGGGGCTGTACCCCCATGTCCGAGGGAGATGCCCCAACGGGAACCTCATGAACAAAAACTGTCACAGAATAAATAGAGGCACGGGGGGCAGGGGGAGGAAGGGGGGCACTAATGGGGCTCCCCAAATCCAGCCCCACTCCAGCGACAGCCGAGTCCTCTGTGCTCCGGTACCCGCCTTGTGTCTGGCCTGGGGGTGCCCGGGGGCTGTCCTGGCCCCTGTCTGTCCCTCTGTCCGTCCTGCCCCTCCCCAGCTCTGCGGGGCTCAGTTGATGTCATCATAGATGCTGGGGGTGTGGGGGGCGGGGGGCTTGGGCTTCTTCTTCTTGCTGGAGCCGAGCCCTGGGGCACCGCTCACCAGCCCCAGGTGGGGCTTCTTCTTCTTGGTCTTGCGGGACTCGGAGTTGTTTGTACCTAGGAAGAAATGGGGGTGTCAGGGAGGAGATGAGCCCCAAAACAGAGTGGATGATGCCCAACTCTGGTCAACACCCAAGAAAATGTACCCCAAAATGTTCCTCCCCCTCTCAGGTTGGGGACAAGGTGCTCCAGGCTTTGGAGCCACAGTCTGTTCAACCCTCTTGTGCTGGGGAGATGCCAGAACGGCCCACACAAAGGGATCTGCGCCCCAGGATTTGTCTGTGCCCCAGGATTTGTCCCCCAGGGCCCCAAACACTCACTGGCTTTGGAGGAGGCCGAGTCGGAGGGGGAGATGTCGGAGGAGCCGTCCCACTGCAGGCGGCTCATCAGGGCCTGGCTCTCGGCCACCTCGAAGCTGTCGTTCTCCACGCTGCCCTCGGCCTCGGGCAGGGACCTGGGCACAGGTGTCACACAGGGATGGTGGGGACAGACACCCCAAAATGCCAGGGGGATGCTCAGGAGCTCAGCCCAGCCCCCACCACCCCACTGGGCCACAAATCCCAACCCCAGCCCTGGGCTCCCGTCCCCTCCAGGCCCCCCAAGGCTGTCCCTGTCCCCAGCCCCTCCTGGCACCCCGTGGAGTCCCTGCTCCACAGGACGGTGACCCCGGCACCTCAGGGACCCCGAGTCTGCAGCCACTTACGCCGAGGGCCCGAGGAGGTAAACCCGGACTGCCCTGCGCTGCTCATCCGTGTGCTGGGGACACCGCAGGGACCTGGGGACGAGACACGGCACTGAGATGGCCTCCCCCCTCCCACGGGGATGGGGGCATGTCGGGGAGCCCCCCAGAGCGAGCAGGGCCAGGCTGGGCCGCCCTCACCTGGTGCACATCTTCTTGGTGTGTTCGGAGATGACCCCGCATTGCTGGGGAGGGAAGGGACAGGTGAGTTTGGGGGGACAGGTGAGTGACCATCACAGCCCTGGGGCCCCCAGCCTGGTGTCCCAGACAAAGCAGCCGGTGCCCCACAATCAGGACGTGCTGCATGCCACCATTGCCAGGCTGGAACCAGCCCCAGTGGGACGAGAGATCCTGGGGGTCCCATCCCCGGTGGTGCCCCCCGTCCCTCCTGCCCCGTCCCCTCACCGTGGTGAGCAGCGTCCGCAGCTCCTCGGGACCCAGCGTCTCGTAGTTGATGCCGGCCGAGTTGCTGTACTGGGGGGCACAGAGCAGGGTCAGGGCT